AAGAGTTCTCCTAAAAAGCAGTCAAAGATTTTAGCTAAGAGTTTTCTATTAAAACCTATTCACAAAGCTGCTGAGTCAAACTTTTACTAAGGAATGGAGAGAAGTCTTGAGCTAAGAGTAAGGGCGGGCTTGACCTCGTTTCTATGGATGATGTCAGCATGCTTACTAACTATTGGCTGATAGTCTCTGTCAGAGATTTATTCATGGACATATTTGTGACGTCCCGTGACGTATTCATGTATGTTGGGATATGGTTACGTGTTTTTCTCCCCTCCTTTTCTCTCTCTCTCTCTGCTACGCAGCGCTCCAAGTCATCCGCAGCTGACAACAATTAGCTGCGGCGTGGTTTTCCCTGTTCTACAGCGATCAGCAGATATAAAGCGGGAGAGAAGCATTGCTGAGGAGGAATCTCTTATCCGCTATCCCAGCGACGTGATTGTGTTTTCTTTTTGCTATTAAGCAAACTGTGAAATGTAAACCTAATGTGTGGGTACATCGACGTTACTGTGGAGGCTCGGCGTGAGTCTAACTCTATAAAACCATGTAGGGAGATGGGCGCCGACTTATTTGGGTTTATCCCCTACTTCACTTTTTTTCTCCTGTTTTTACTTTAGTTAGGGAGAGAGGTAAGATTGTTGTCTTTAATTTTGTTTTCTGTTGTCAGGGAAGTTATTTTGTTTGTTATTTTGGCCTTTGCTCTCTCCCGACGCTTTGGTTATTTAAGTTGTTTAGTAGTCAATACATTTGTATATTTGCTACATGTTGGTATTATTTTCGGGTTTATTTCTAAACCCTTAATAAAAACTCTTAAATGTATTTCAGGCATTCGGGTTTGCTTTTGTGGAACAGTGTTACACAGAGGGGTTTAGTGGTGAACCTTTATTAATAATGTCTGTAGTGAAAGTGATAGAAGCTGGGATAGAGGAAAAGGAGTCTCCTCATCGCTTGTTTATTTATTTAAACATCCGTTTTACCTTTGTTACTTCCACTCTGTGACCCCTAGACTAAAGACTGGTTTGTAACAAATGGGGGCTCGTCCGTCTTTGTGTTGACGAAATAAGGGTTCGTCTGTTTTTTTTGTTTTTCTTTCGTTTATCTGTGCCAATGAAATGAGGATTTGTCCATCTTTGAAATGACAAAATAGGAGTTCGTTAGCTTCTGGGTTTGTCTTTGTTGATGAATTGGGTGCTCGTTCGTCTTTAGAATGACAAATTGGGGGTTGTCCTCACGAAATAATAATTGAAGGCGTATTTTTTTTTTTTCCCGACGAATCAGAGATTGCTTTGTTCATCAATATTCTCGTACAGAATTGTAATTTTTCTTCTCGTGTGCCCCGTGACAGTTATATGCACTTCTTTTCTGAAGGAACGATTTGGTCGTACGCAACGCAGCTTTGGTAAGAAAATCGACTTTTTTTTTTTTGATTGCTGGCTGTTTTCTTCGGGGGAGTAGAAGCAGTAGAAGTTAAAATGGAATTTGATTTGATCTCATTCACACTGGCACCAACTAGGGAGGTATTTAATCGCTGTAGAAAGAGCGATCTTTCGATGATCGCAGATTTCTTTAGGATTAATGTTCCCAGAGAGGCTACTAAACAGGTCATTAAGGAAGAACTATATGACAAGTTAGTAAATGAGAGAATTTTACCAAGCCCAAGCGACGACAGTGAAGGGGCAGATCGACTTGAAAATACAATAAGTAAAGAGATGGGTAGTGTAGATCCATTAGATACTGACACTATGTTTTTTCAGGACCCTAGATTAGCGGTGAGGTTAAAAGAGCTGGACCTAGAAATAAAGAAACAGGAATGTGAAGCCCAAATTATTAAATTGAAAACAATTGAAGTGGAGGCTGACAGAGATATTAAGTTACAAAAGCTTGCTTTAGAAGCTCAGCGTGTAGCTGCGCAAGCAGTTCCACTACCACGTACTAAAATATCATCAATTTCTTCTCCTATATCAGCGTTAGCTAGTCCTTTGGCTGGAGTTCCTAGTCATGCATCTTCTGGTATTCCGTTTGATCCTAGTAGGTATATTAAACTTGTACCGACGTTCAGAGAAGCAGAAGTGGATGCTTATTTTGTTGCGTTTGAAAGAGTTGCAGGGAAGTTAGGATGGCCAAAAGATATGTGGGCCATATTGTTACAGTGCAGTCTTATGGGAAAGGCACAGGAAGTTTGTTCGGCCCTGCCAATTGAGTCGTCACTTGAGTATGATACCATTAAAGCAGCGGTTTTGCATGTGTATGAGCTTGTTCCTGATGAAATTTCAGCGACATTCGTAGAGTTCGCAAGGGAGAAGAGAATTCTCTTTGATAAGTGGTGTCTTTCTAACAAGATAACAACCCTTGAGCAGCTACAGGAGTTTTGCTAGAAGACTTTTAGAATTGTGTGCGCCGGAGAATTTGGTAGTTCATTTGAATGAACAAAAAGTGGCTTCCTTATCTAACGCTGCTGTTTTGTCTGACGAGTTTGTTTTGACACATCTTACGGTTTTCCCGCAGTGCGACAGTCAAAATTTGTGTCGGATTTAGTCGATTTGCCGAACGTGACGCCTCGCGTAACGCGCTCTGCTAGAGCGGAAAACTTTTCCAAAAGTTCGCGTAACACTAAATTTGCCAATAATGAGAAACGAGAACGTTTCTACTGTCTGAGCCCTGAACATCTGATTGCAGATTGTCAATTGTGGAAGCAAAAGAATTCGAAACCTAAGAGTGTAGCACTTGCGCAGTCTCTGCCAAAGTTAAGCACAGCTGACGTAGAAAGTTACCAGCCGTTTCTTTTAGAGGGCATGGTTTCTGTGTTACTGCTGACTTTAAGCCAGTGGTTATGCTTCGAGACACTGGAGCTGCACAATCCTTTATTCAGGAGAGTAGCTTACCATTTTCTGATGTGACCTACACTGGTTGCGATTTACTAGTTCGATGTATTGAAATGAACTGTGTTAATGTACCTCTGCATATGGTTCAGTTGAAGTCAGATCTGGTCAGTGGACCTGTTAAGCTGGGTGTTCGTAAACTGTTACCTGTGGAAGGTATAGATTTAATCATAGGGAATGATTTAGCAGGTGGTGAAGTCTTCCCTACCCCAATTGTGACGCATACCCCAGTTGTGAAAGAGTTTTCTAACCTTGCTTCTTTGTATCTTTCAGTTTTTCCTGCATGCGCAGTCACTCGAGCACAGGCACAAAAATTTGAGGAAGTGATGGATCTAGCTGACTCGTTTCTAGTTCCTGTATCTGTTTCACTGGAATGTACACTCTCCATAGACCCTGAGTCTGATTCTGATTCCAGTTCAGAGCCAAAAACTCGACTTCAAGGTAAGTAGAGAACATTTAGCAACTGCACAGAGAGAATATTTGACGTTAACAAAGTGTGTTAAAGCTGCAGATCTTGTGCCAAAGCCTAATTCAGGAGTACTGTATTTCTGGGATGATGGATTGCTGATGCGCAGTTGGAAGCCAGACACTGATGATGAGAATTGTCAGGAGGTACGACAAATAATTTTACCTGTCGGCTATAGTAAGTATGTGTTAAAATTGGCTCATGAACATGTAATGTCCGGTCACCTGGGCGTGACAAAGACATTCTACCGAATTTCCAGATTTTTCTACTGGCCTGGTATAAAGTCTGCTGTCTCTGCCTTCTGTAAAACTTGCAAAGTTTGTCAACTAGCAGGAAAGCCAAATCAAAAAGTTCCTGTTGCTCCGCTTAGTCCAATACCTCTCATGAGTGAGCCATTTGAACGACCCGTCATTGACTGTGTCGGCCCGTTGCCGAAGACCAAGGCAGGACATCAATACTTATTGACTATTATGTGCGCTGCAACACGCTTTCCAGATGTGATTCCTTTGCGTAACCTGAAAGCCAAAGCAGTGGTGAAAGAACTGATTAAATTTTGTTCTACTTTTGGCTTGCCAAAGACAATTCAGACAGACTGCGGCACAAATTTCACGTCAAGAATTTTTGACCAAATCTTAACCTCCTGGGGTCGAGGGTGCCGCCGCAGATTTGAATGATAACAGCTAAAAGAACTTAAAATGCTCCTTCATACGTGATCGTACATATAAGAGTAATACAGCATTTAAATCTGTAAAGGGTCTACTTTTATTTGTGTACACTCACAATATCAACAAAACATTGTGCTTTTGCAAAATTAAGAAAATAAACAGGGTGTGCTTTTAGCCGTCTCATTCTCTGTGCATATCTGTTTAAAACGCGTCACTAAAATTAACTGAAACTCAGCGAATCATTCTCCGCGCATATCTGTTTGAAACGCGTCACTAAAATGAACTGAAACTCAGCGAATATTTGACACACACATATGAGAGATATATCTATAGAAAGCTTGACATGTCTACTTTTAAACGAAGTAAGTCATGCCAAAAACAAATATTATGTGACAAAGTAATCAGTATGAAACCAACGCGGTGTCAAGTCTTGGCCGTCTGCCTTCATTATCTCTAATTAGATCACGCCCACGCGCTGATCGCGCTTTTGATATTACAATCGTCCACATGAGATGCGCGCATGTAAACACCCACATCACAGCAAACAAAGCAGCGAGACTTTTCTTCAAGTTCATCTCGGCTACTTCATTTCTGGAAGAAGACGCGCTGAGAGGAATAAGACAGAAAGAGTTTTGGATTTTCCTCAGAAGAACGCGTCGGCTTGATTTCCAGTGGAGAATATCATTTACACTAGTAAGTCTTTTTTTATTAGCCTACTTGCATTAGTTGTTATTGTGTTACTGTGACATAACTTGTACATATTTTACTAGTTAGACTTTTTCCAAACCATGATTCCTGACTAAATGTATAATCAAGTGAAACATTATGAAGATTCATTCACTGCATCTAATGTCTCACGATGCCAGGATGTTTTTTTTTATGTTCTATAAAATAGACAGCAACGGTAATATGAGTTATAATGTAATTAAAAAAGTAATATGAGTTATAATGTTAAGAGTAAGAATGTTTAGACTAAACTTTACTATAGGCTCTGCTCGCGAAGATCTTTATAGCGTGCTTAACAATAATAATTTATTTTTAGCTTCTGTTCGGGAATATCTGCTCTGTTGTAAATGTTTTTAATGTTTTATAATCGGTCATTGGCGTTCGCGATCGTCTGAGGTATAAATGTATCAAGTAAGCTGTAAATAAGTGATCCATCGACAGACATATACGCACGTCCTTTCTTATCAGTGGTGCGATTTATTTATCAGCTATGCATCTTCTGGAAATTGCTAACAACTATTTTAATTTTCGTTTAGGACTGTGGCTGCATCACTGGCATAATTGCACAAGAAAGGCACACGTGTCGTTCAGTTTTGAGTTCGCTGGAAAATCATACTGTGTAAGTGCACAGTATAGTAATTGTACTTTTATTATGCCTAGACTATATGGTAATATTATTTGTGGTTGATAGTGTTAAAATGTAGTTTCTTTGTTATTGGCATTCTGTTTTCTCATGAAGTATGCATACTATACTAAGGTACTGTGGGAAAAAATGCTTACAATTGTTTATAAAATTATTTTAGGACCGAATACACCACTCTTGCCTTCACCTGCATCTCTCACAGTAAGGGGACGCTCGTTCAGTTTTCAACTCCATTCAGAATCTTAGAGTAAGTGTGCATTCACTATTTTACAGATGTTACTTTCATTTGATTTATTTGCTGTATGGTACACTATTTTTGCTATGTGGTAATTGTGTTCTTTGTTTCGATAAATTAGTACTAGTATCAGTGAACATCATAATAATGTTAATAATGTAGTTTGTGTAAACAGCATGCTTGCTTTTTTATTTCAGATGTGAGAATAACAGTGTAAAAGAACCTGTTGCAAAGAGAGCCAAAGCAAAGCAGCCCACTTGGTCATGGAAATGGGGATTCCTGCCTGCACAAGAACCTGGACCACAGCTAAGACCATGTGATGCACACACTCCCATGAGTTATTTTATGTGATAGTTATATGTATTCTAAATAAACTACAAACAAAAAATATATACATTTCTTTTTTCCTCACATTCTTTCTTGTAGCAATTCCCTCTCAGTCACACACCTGACAGCTCATTATGCAGCTCATTATGCAGGCCTTTGTCTTCTCAGGTGTGAATCACAGCATTATGCATGATCATTCACGCCTCCTCGCATATACCTTTTCTACACAAAAAGTGTCTTAGAAAATTTAAATCAATATATTGTTTTCTGTAAATGAGTAAGATGATTTTCACATAATTTTGAAGCAAAAACTCTAGACTTCAAGATCCAGTTCTCAAAAGTCTTGTGAGCAAATGTTCTGTATGCGTTTTATGGCCTTATTTCAGTGACTTTAAAATTTTAGTTTTTCACTAAGCACGCATAAACGTTGCTTTCTCAAAGACACAATCGCATACATACATGCTGCACACATATTATTGTAGCCCAGTTTGTGCTGATTACAGTGTTATTAAACTTTAGACATTAAAATGTTTGTAAGCAACTGAAAAAAGCACAAATGTCAGGGCATGTCAAAACTTTTCCAGGGCCCCAAAACACCCTCGGACCCCAGAGGGTTAAAGGAGCTTGGCATAAATCACCAGTTATCCAGCGCTTACCATCCAGAGTCACAAGGAGTGATTGAGAGATTTCACCAAACTTTGAAAACGATGTTGCGTAGTTACTGTGTTGAGACTGGAAAAGATTGGGATGTGGGTCTTCCCTTTCTTTTGTTCGCCGTGAGAGAGACAGTGCAAGAGTCTCTGGGGTTTAGTCCAGCGGAGCTTGTCTTCGGTCGTGCTGTGCGAGGGCCGCTAAAATTGTTAAGTGAACAGTTGCTGACTGAACATCCGACACCTATGTCTATTCCTGACTATATTCAAACTCTCCGTCAGAGATTGCAGAACGCTCGTGAAGTGGCATCACAACACCTTGTAACCCCACAAGACAAGATGAAAGCACGTTATGACAAAAAGTGTGTTGTCAGGTCTTTCCAGCCTGGTGAATCTGTACTGGTTTTGTTATCTACCCCTGGTTCCGTGTTCCAGGCGAAGTTTACTGGCCCCTACTTAATTAAAAAGAAAGTGAGTGACACAAATTACATCATTGACACACCGGACAGAAGGCGTAAAAGCCGAGCCTGCCACATCAACATGCTGAAGAGGTACGTGACTACACAGTGTAACAGTGAGTCGAAGTATGATAAAGTTATAGATGAAGAAGAGTGTGAGGACAGGAGTGTGTTGACTTCTAACGTTGTTACGATTACTAGCTATACCATGGAAGAAGATGGTTTGCGTAATCGAGAAGTTCAAGTTTCCTCTACACGATTAAAGAATTCTGCTGTGCTAAACAATTTGAAGGATTACTTTGCTCACCTTGGTGAAAGTCAAGCTAAAGAACTGAACTAAAGTTTGAATTTCCTAGTCTGTTTTCAGATGTGCCGGGAAAAACTACAGTTTGTTCTCACGACATCGATGTTGGAGATGCAACCCCGATTAAACAGCATCCATACCGAGTTAATCCTCAAAAACGTGACATCATGAAAGCTGAAATGGAGTATATGCTGGAGCATGGATTTGCGGTGCCAAGTCAAAGTCCCTGGAGTTCGCCCTGCATACTGGTACCAAAACCTGATTCCACCTTTCGCTTTTGCACTGACTTTCGTAAGGTTAATAATATAACAATGGCTGATTCCTTCCCACTTCCCAGGATGGAAGATTGTGTGGATAGGGTTGGTCAAATGATACTGGCAAGTACCTTTGACTCCGCGTGCATCAGAGATATCAGCGTTCGTCACTCCAGACAAGTTGCTACAGTATTCCGTCCTAGCTTTCGGAATGCGAAATGCTCCCGCCACATTCCAGCGGTTGATGAATACTGTGTTGACAGATGTGGAGAATTGTGAGGTATACCTGGACGATGTGGTTATCCATTCACTTACCTGGTCAGAACATATGTCCAGCCTCAAGAAGGTACTCCAGCGTTTGGCTGATGCTTCATTGACTTTGAACCTTGCTGAGTGTGAATTCGCAAAGGGACAGATCACCTGTCTGGGAAAGCAAGTTGGCCAGGGGAGGGTCAAGCCTGTTGAAGCCAAGATAACGGCTATTCTTGAGTACCCTCTTCCTTCTAATAAACGTGAGCTGCGTAGGTTCCTAGGAATGTGCGGATACTACCGTGCTTTCTGCCCTAACTTTTCCTCTGTTGTGTCACCACTCACTGATTTGTTAAGCACCACAAAAATATTTATTTGGACACCCAGTTGTGACTGTGCTTTTAATGCTGCGAAAGATTTACTTTGTAGTACACCAATACTCAAAGCCCCCCAGTTTGATGTTCCATTCAAACTGCAAATTGATGCCTCAGCCACAGGAGTGGGTGCAGTCCTGCTGCAGGAGGATCAAAGTGGCGTAGAGCATCCTGTCTCCTATTTTTCTAGAAAGTTCTCAAAGTGTCAGCAGAACTACAGCGTTGTTGAAAAGGAGGCATTGGCAATGTTGATGGCACTACAACACGTTGAGGTATATATAGGTGGTAGTGTGGCCCCTATACTTGTGTACACAGATCATAATCCATTAGTTTTCATTGAACGCATGTCTAACTCCAATCAACGCCTTATGCGGTGGTATTTTGCTATTCAGGAATTCAATCTTGACATTCGCTACAAAAAAGGCTCAGACAATATCGTTGCTGACACATTGTCTAGATCTTAAATTTCTACCTAGCTGATTGTCATGCCAAGGTGTGTATTAATGAGTTCATGACTGTTTATCATTAAACATTTGTTGTTTATGATTTTAACGGTTGGGGGTGTTACGTCCCGTGACGTATTCATGTATGTTGGGATATGGTTACGTGTTTTTCTCCCCTCCTTCTCTCTCTCTCTCTCTGCTACGCAGCGCTCCAAATCATCCGCAGCTGACAATAATTAGCGGCAGCGTGGTTTTCCCTGTTCTACAGCGATCAGCAGATATAAAGCGGGAGAGAAGCATTGCTGAGGAGGAATCTCTTATCCGCTATCCCAGCGACGTGATTGTGTTTTCTTTTTGCTATTAAGCAAACTGTGAAATGTAAACCTAATGTGTGGGTACATCGACGTTACTGTGGAGACTCGGCGTGAGTCTAACTCTGTAAAACCGTGTAGGGAGATGGGTGCCGATTTAATTGGGTTTATCCCCTACTTCACTTTTTTCTCCTGTTTTTACTTTAGTTAGGGAGAGAGGTAAGATTGTTGTCTTTAATTTTGTTTTCTGTTGTCAGGGAAGTTATTTTTGCTTAACCCTTAGTTAGACTGTTTTTGTTTGTTATTTTGGCCTTTGCTCTCTCCCGACTCTTTCGTTATTTAAGTTGTTTAGTTGTCAAGACATTTGTATATTTGCTACATGTTGGTATTATTTTCGGGTTTATTTCTAAACCCTTAATAAAAACTCTTAAATGTATTTCAGGCATTCGGGTTTGCTTTTGTGGAACAGTGTTACACAGAGGGGTTTAGTGGTGAACCTTTATTAATAACGTCTGTAATGAAAGTGTTAGAAGCTGCAATAGAGGAAAAGGAGTCTCCTCATCGCTTGTTTATTTAAACATCAGTTTTACCTTTGTTACTTCCACTCTGTGACCCCTAGACTAAGTATTCAAATAAAGGTTTAAAAAAAAAAAAAAAAAAGTTAATTGCCACATTCAAATAAAGATTTTAAAATGCAGGATAAGTATCACTAATTAAACAAGTATATGGTCAGCTTATTGTCAGTCTCTTGCATGTATGCTTCTCAAAAACAACTAGCGGATATGCATATAAACAGCCTTTTAATTAACAGAGTAGAATAATCATGGCTGACAGTAAAACATGCAAACGTAAAAAAAAAAAAAAACGACGCAAGAACAGCTGTTACTTCTTGCCCAACTGGTTAATGAAAACAAGGATATGATCAAAGGAAAAGTAGGAGTTGTGGTAACTTCCAAAACCAAAGGTGATACTTTTTTAAAAAGTAATTTTCATTAAATATTTCTAAAATGTTTATGTTCCGAGGCAGACTGCCGGCAACAGCCACTTTAGGATAGTTTGTGGCTTGGTCTTAGTGACTGACTTAGGAGTCCTCTTCACTACTCCTATCGTTTCACAGATTTGGGAGCTAGTTTTATTGCTAAAACGCTTTGTGAAATACTCTTAGACCAAAAATTTAGGAGTTCTAAATTTAGGACTGACACTCCCGTTATTTTTAAGATTTTCTCCTAAATCGGCGAGTTATGAGCTACTTTTAGCCTTAAGATGTTTTGTGAATATGGGCCCTGATCACATTGGCAGCAGAAATAGAGTCATTACTACAAAAACAGACCATAGACGTTGTACATGGCCCAGACCAGTTAAAGGTTTTTTTTTTTTTTTTTCTCCAGGTACTTCCTCCAAAAAAGGATGGGGGGATCCAACCTATTCTAGACTTAAGGAACCTCAATGTCTTTCTAAAGCATCTACCTTTTCACATGCTACGAATAGCAGATGTTATATGTGCAGTGAACAGAAACGATTGGTTCGTTACTATAGACCTGAGGGATGCATATTACCACATTCCAATTGCGGCACAACACAGGAGATTCCTTCGTTTTCATGTCAATGGAGTGACATACCAATCAGATTTCTTCCTTTCGGGTTAGCCCTGGCACCCAGAACTTTTAACAAATATGTGCAAGCTAGAAACCTTTACAGCGCCAAGGTATGTATATTCTTCCTTACCTCAACGATTGGCTACTATGCGGTCAGTCTCAACACCAGGTGCAAGAGCAGACGAGGTCGTTGATTCTGCACATAGAGGCACTAGGTCTCAAAATAAATTACAAAAAGAGCAGTCTAATTCCTGCTCAGACTGTTCAGTTCATTGGCATGAGGCTCGACTCATGCACCATGGAAGCCACTTTGACAGAAGCCAGATCTCAGTCAATAGCAAAGACAGTTGCAAAATTTAAAATAGGCAGGTACTATCATATGCAGAT